ATTGGTTCATTAGAAGTTGGAATCTGAATCAATTAAAAATTTTCAATTTTGTATTAATCTATTTATTATTTTATTATTACTTTATTAATATTTTATGAATATATAGTTATTATTTTATTAGTATTTCATAATTAATATCTTGGTGTTTATTATTAATTTATAAATGTTTCATTAATATATCATTATATTATTATTATTAGCACTACTTTAATAATATTTATTATTATATGTTATTAATAAATCGTTATTATTTTATTATTGTTTTAATGATATTGTATAAATATTTGATTATAATACTATTATTTTGTTAGTATTTCACTAATTTTTTGTTAATAGTTTATTAATATTTTATTATTAATTTAATACTATTTTATTATTTTATTAATAATAAGGTTTGGGGCATTTTTGTCATGAATTATTTACTGTTGACAGACTCTGGAATGGGAATTCCATACCCTAAAGGGGCTTGGAATGGCAATTCCCCTAAGAATGGGAATAAGAATCCCTGTCAAACAAACGATAGGAATTGGAAGGCGCCTATTCCTGWAAAACAAATGGACCCTAAAATCCTTACAATAGCCATCAACCCCCTCACTTTTTGTCTCTACCTATTTTTACAACAGCACAAATAAACTATGACTATGGTCGGAAATGCCATTAATCAAATTAAAAATAGATAAAAAATAAAAAATAGCTCGATAGAACTCCTTTTGTGCAATACACTTTCATTTGATCTAGCCCATCCCTGTACATTAGGTAAGCACAATGTGCAATACACTTTCATTTGATCTGGCCCATACAAAACCTCTCACACTGAATCTCGGACTGGAACCCCTAGCCTAGTGGGGAGAACTAACTCACCACCCGACCTCGCCCATCCCTTTACCTTATCGCTTTCACCCCCTTAAATTTGCCTTGAAAATCTAACAATCTTCTTAATTTTCTGCTGCCAACAAGACCTTCGAACCTAAATTTGTCAGCCTCTTCAGAGAAACATTACTCAGTCATCTTCCTCGTCGCTTCCCAACTTCTCCCTCTACCTCTCTTTCGTCGCTTCTATCTCAAAACTTCTTTAAGGCCTCTCTTACGTGCGATTCACCACCCAAGAAGAATGAGCTGCAGGACTTTGCCACCTGGTCTTCTCAATCCACTAAGCTTTCTACAGACCTCACATCCTTCGCACTAATTTCAGATGCAGGCACCCGCACCTCAGCCCTTGTTTGTCTAACCGGTAAATCAGAATCTACCTCTCCATCCTCTGCTCTCCTCCTTTGAGACACCTGTACTAAGATCTYGACCTCTCCTTTCTCTAACAAAAGGACTAAACTTGAATTGGTCTCAACCTCCTTTGCCAACTCTAGAGCATACCGAACCTCACTTTCAGCCTAGATTTTCTTAAAGTTACGTTTGGTTTGAAGGAAAAAGTAGGGAAAGGAAAGGAAAGGTAAGGAAACTTTTACAAACTTTGTATATATTTCCCTACCATTTCCTTCCTTTCCCTATC